CGAAGCTTACAATATTATATACTAAAAACAATAAATAGCTATATTTACATTCATCAGCAAGCGAGAGAGGCGCGAAGCCTATTAGGCCAGTCACATACTCCTGGGCAATCTCGACGGGGACCTCATCATCAGACATATTAATTTGAAGGGATACAGCTGTCCCCGAGTCATCTAAACAATAATCTTTATCAGATTTGAAGATAATGTATAAAGCTAAAATTGAGGTATTTATTTTAAAATTATATAAAAATTTATTTGGAAGTAATAGCATGACTTATCTTGCATAATCAAATAATGAATATCCAAATTGCGTTAATTCCATAAACATAAGATTTTCCAACGGTAATTAAAATAGGTAAGAATTTTTTTCATTTTGTCTAGGTCCAATTTGTTGTTATTTCGAGTATAAACCTGATCATACAGCGATAATTAAGAAAGTATGAATTACTCTATAGCATAATTTTCCTCACTAGCTCAAGCATAATATGATAAAATGAAGGATAAACATTTGTATAAATATTTGTTTAATATTTTATATGGTCTTTCAGAGTAATGTTGTCGAATAAATGCCATGCTAAGTGAATGCGATCAATTCAGGTATATTAAAAATGGTTTTATGATATCACAAGGACTCATTTTAATACTCTAACTGCTGATGAAGATATTAATGTGAAAACGTAAACCCTTAAATCAGTATTTAGTAAAAGAGACGAATACACATATATTGGACTATTTCTGCTGCATTTTAGGCTAATACAGCTTAATAATTTACCCGGAAATCGGGAGACTTTACCTTTATTTAGTATTACTTATTTTTTAAAACTTTTAAATTCTGCTTCAATGTATGCTTTATTAACAGAATTATAGGCCACCACTAGAAGAATTCTTAAAAATTAAGTGAATACAATTTGGGAAAACTAAAGCCCTTAACAGAGGCCATATTGCCTCTGTGCTCTTTTTGATGTAAGGAAGTGGTTCTACCCCGTTTTCGCAATTTGGTCGCGTTTTATGGCAGCCTGGATAAAGGCACCTTGCCATTAATTCCTTGCTATAGTAGCTATGATATTTCAGGAAGTCAGAACATGGACTTAATACATGCTTGAATGGTTACTATAATCAGATCGCCATTCCAATATTATGTGATCAATCAAGTGTGCATTTAATACGCTAGCTATTTATTCGAGCTTACCGTCTATTGCAGCAAGTTTTAATTGTGTCTTATTTTGGCACCAGATTACCAGATTACTAATTACCTGAACATTTAAAATCCGTAATTTCTTCCTAATAAAATGTTCTAATGTGACCACACAAAAGGCCATACTATCTTGGTCTTTATACCTTCGATTAAATTTTGTAATGCCTCGCTACACACTGCTTATTGTGTCCGCCAGCAAACTTATATTCCAGACTTACTTTAGTATAGTGCTATAGACTACTATATATACTACTACTATTCTCGTTCTTTGATACCCTATGTCCGCATAAATAAGAAATCGCTGGCGTGAAAATGTACTGCTCATCTTTACCACTCATGAATCTCATGAAGCACACTCCTCTTGTCTCTAAAGTTGGCAGTCCTTTCTAATCCTACGGTTTTAGTCAATTTTTAATAAGTGAGTTAGTTGGTATTCCTCCTAGTCAGGCATGCAGCTAGTCACCTCATTAATTCACACATACGAAAAATGCACAAAATGCACACGCACATGCACAATCTGGACCAACTGATATTGTGCAACCAAGGTCGGTATCCACACCTTGGAGAATTTGATAGGGACCTATAGCTTTTGCCTAGCCCCTCCAATGGTGCATATTCTGCATATTTCAGGCACTGACTTGCCTATCCTATATACAGCAGGTGGATCCACACTGGGAACCTTGAGCTGATTCTAGGTTTGACTTCTCTGACTGCAATCGCTTATTATTGGCTTTCCTTTTTCCCTCATGAAACTCTTCTTGGCGATGTCTTTCCTGATGTGGAATGGTTCATGCATCTGCTTTTGGCTCTTAAAGCTCTAAGGCTGTCTAGGCAGTATGCGAATTTATCTCATAAGGGTTGTTTTTGAAGGAGGATGCCAACTGCCTCCCTGATTTTACGGTTTTTGGTTTTCTCCTCATATAAGGCCAATCTTTCCGCTGCACTTCAGCCAATTGTGTGGCCGGTCAGGGCAATGTGCTCAGCTATCTCCAATTTTTCTTTGATCCATGTGTTACTTGTCTTCCAGTCTCCGCGATGTACTTTTAATTACGGTTCCAGCAGTTTGTACTGTGAAAGCCGAAGCGCTCCATTATGTTGACTTATTAACGCATTGTGGTCAAGCTGGTGAATAGGGTTGTCCTTTGTTTGAGGATTGTACAGATATTCAATTTCCATAGTAAAGACAGCAGCTTCTGAGCCAATTCGCAGGATGGCATATATATCCATAGTGTTTCTTCTGCTTTACTGACTTTTCTTTCATAATCCTTGTCCTGTCATCTGATCATCACGATCCGTATGTTGCATTGTAATGATTCTTCTGGATATCTGTTTACAAGACATATCTGAGTTAGTTTTTCCAGTTCCTCTTCCAGGAATTCACTAAGCCTTAGGTTTCTTATCAAAATACTCAGGAGTATTCCATTTTTCATTCCATAAGTATAATGAGACTGGAAGTCAAGAATTATTTCTGCATGCGAATTCTTTCGGAACAGTCGCCTTTTAAGAGTCGTCTCTGAACGAATGACTTCCACATCCAAGAACGTTTTCTGCCACATCCATGGCAAATTTGACCTATTTATACATGTCTAAGAAGATCAGGAAATCGTCTGATTTTTCTTTTCCATGCGACTAGAGTGCAAAGCGTTCATGCAGCTATCGCATGATTGCTGTTGATTGCTGAGGTGACGTTTTGAAATTCTGCTCCCTCTTGCCTATGTAGACATTAGCCAACAGAGGGAAGAGTTGTGAGCCCATAGGCAGACCAAATACTTGCTAATAGATGCAGCCGCTGAACCTGAAATAGTTATATCTTGTTGTTAGGTTGACTAATCGGGTTAGACTCTTTATGGATTCGCTCCGTCTCCAGAATGTAATATTTTACAAGATGTCCAGTAGTGCCCTGAGTGCTTTTTCTCCAGAGATATTGTGGTACATGGAGTGTTTATAAAAGTTTTGATTCTTTGGCGAAATATCTATGAACTTTTCATTGTATTCTATAATCTGTCATTCACTTTTTTTAATTTGAGGCATATAAATTTCGTTAATTTATGTGCCAGTCCATTTTGTTGTTGGTTATCAGTCTCAATGGTTCTCCTTTGTGTACCTTCGGCAAATTATATGATGCTGGGTCCCTTGCAGCCTTTCGCACGAGTGAATTAATTGTCTATTTGTCAATTTTCTTTCAGCATTTTTTGAAGTACCCCTTTGATTTTAACTATTGGGTCTTTAGTTAGTAGTCGATAAGTTATAGTGTACCCGAGAATATTTTCTATTTTATCTGTAAATCACAATTGTGATACCTACTTTGCCGGCTACTAGAACTATTTGATCGTTTCTTTTCAATTCCTTATATATCTTGGTTATATTTTTTCAAGGTTATGAGGGACAAATTGACAAGCGAGGTGGAAAGGTGGGGTATAATTCTGTTCCCTCTACTTCATTTAAGGTGACGGAAGGCTGGTAGCTGAATTTTTCCTCAATCATATGAATTGAGCTGACATTCTCGTCGAATTTCACATAACCTTGGTTCTTAGAAAGTTTTCTCATCCAAGATGGACTGCAGTTTCGACCTCAACTAGGTCTTACCAACACCCCCAGCATGGGTCAAACCATTACACTGCAATGCATAATCCTGCCAAATAGCCACGATTCATATATCTGATTTACGAGTAGTCTCAAAATATTACTTAAAAACGAAAAAAACTAATCCCCTTTATAGCTATAGCAAGTCTAAGTTCGCTTCATTGACAATCCTACGACAGAATATGCTGAGAAAAGTGCTTGACCTTCCTTGAAATTAGCATCTGCCCTTTGAACCAAGGGCATTTGTGGCAATTTGGCGTAGTGTTTGACGTGTCGAGATTACACGCTGCACTGGAATGGTTCGACTCCCGCTAGGCGAGGTCGAAACTGCAGTCCATCCTGGATGAGAACACCTTATGGGAAAGCAAGGCTAGGTGAAATTCAATTGAAAAATCAGCGAAATTCACTTCTTCGTGAAAAAACTCAACTACTAATTTTTCATCACTTTAAACGAAATAGAGTGAATCCAACTTATACATCTAATATACTGGTATTCTTGAAAACCTACTCAAAAACGAATAAATCAAAGTAAGAAGTTACGACCGACAAGTCATGCAAATGGTATCTTAGGCCGGTAGTGAAGTGATCACACTTCACTAGTTTCACTAATGATACATTCTTAGACGATATTGGAGTATACGAGAGCATAGAATGATGTACATAGGTAAATGAGCGGTATAGGACAAGGTTGAGCGAAAAAGATGCAGCCCTGTAAAGTAAGACAAAGACTAAGGTTGAGGAGTGATGCTACAACGGTTAAATATATAATTAGCCTAGAGTATTTCCCTCATTTGTGACCTTGATAAGCTGCCACTCTGTGCTAACGATGGCGCCTTTCACTGACGATGCCACTGGAACGTCAGGGAATATACCAAGTCAATGAGCTGATGGTGGAAATCACGATTTACTTTCAATGGTCCAAGTTTGATCTCGAACCAGATAAGAATATTGTACACAAAATTAAGACTTGCTTTCATTTCAATCAATAGGCTTCAAAAAATAGGAAATAGGATCACTAAAACTTTTTTGGAGGTACGTCAAGTAAAAGTGCACTTGGGCAGAGGATCACTATTGGTACTAATATAATTGTAACAAGTAGCATAAAATGCACATGATCTAAGGTGGTAGTTGAACGCCAGAATTATGAATGAAGGTGGCCTAAAACTGTTTGATTTCCGGGTGGCAAGGATCGCAAGAGCCGCAAAGGTCGCAATTGAAGATGTTACTCAAAAGACCAGATCAGACATAAAGCCACAGCCGGATATACAGGTATTCTAAAAGATTGAAAGAGGTTATCATTAAGGCCGACCATTGCAAGTTTCCCCCAGACGTGCCTAGAAAGCAGTGATTTAAAAAAAATAACATTAAGCAGATACACTTACTTGAATGATCAAATACAACTCCAAAGACATTGTCAGATAGCACGACTTCCGTAAACAAGTATAGACTTCAAAAATATGGCAGGAGTTAAAAACAAATTAAGTCAAAAAACATGTGTGAAAGCCAATCATAATTCAAGCGATCATAGAGACGAAGCGCAAGATGGTGTAGCCTTATGTTTGGTCGCAGTCTCCCTTAGCTTTATAGTGCTGGTTCGACCTCGTCTTCGAAACTTATTCTGAGCGTCAAGGGGACCTTGGGGAACTTACCTGGTTCTGTGTCATCTGTCACAATATTCGTGATTTACAGCATCGGACCATTGACTCGGTACATTCCAAAACGTTTCGCTGGCATCGTCAGCGCAGAGTTACAACTTATCACTTGTCGCTGATAAATTGCAACTCTGTGCTGACGATGCCATCGAAATGTTTGGGAATGTACCGAGTCAATGGTCCGCTGGTTGAAATAACGAAAACTGTGACAGAGGAACAGGACCCGGTACATTTCCTCAGGTCTCCCTGATTCTCCGACCGAGTTGCGAAAACGAGGCCAAACCAACACTAAGCTGATAATGCGTTTAAAATCCACCTCTGTAACTAAGCGCAAGCGAGTTAACACAATTAATGGAAACGCCATATCAGGAGTCAAAATGGTCAAGAGCGCACGACTTACCATCAGACATATCACTTTCCAGGGTCCTGAGATAATGAAAGCTTGCACAGATTGATTATCATATAATGCTCAAATAAGTCGCAGAGAATAGCATAAGCCAGATAAGACGAGCCAATAGTTCTCAAACATTTTTTAGAATTCCATTAAAAAGTTTCGAGACGGAGTATACCTAGTAGGTAGGCAAAGAATATAGAGGTATTATATCTTCAATATGGTTTTATTTTGTAGCAAAGGGCAAAGAAGGGACTGGTTTATCATAGGTCAGGGAGTTGAAGGGAGACGATTGGTTTTAGACAATTTAATCACCAATCAAGTCGCATATTCTTCACAGTGGATATTCATGCTCGTTAATATATTAAAAACAACCTGAAACGTAAAAGCTTCATGCCACATCTCGAGCATACATAAGTATGTGCGCGTGTGCAAGAAAAGAGGAAAAATTATAAAAATGATAGAGAAAATAGAGAAATAAGAATAGTAAATGCCTAAGGTAAAATAGGCAAAACAGACGAAGTATATAAAAAGAATGAGATTCAAAGAACCGGTTGAAGGTGCTAGAACAAATAAGACTCGACGTTTGAAGCAAGTTCTCTATAAGTAAATGCAAGTGAGTTCTCCTAACTGTTTCGGTCGCTATGAGTAGCAAAGAAGTCCCAGTAGTCGGCAGTAAAGTATTGCTACTCTACTTGGTCGTATGTATAAATAGAACAAAAATATGAAGGTGTAGAGAAGTCGTACGCATGAAAGCGTAAATAAGTGAGCTGGAGTTTGGCTAAAAACGCGATAAATGCGAACTTCACGAGGTATGGAGTTAAGCAAGGCACATATTGCGAAAGAAAAACAGCAGAAAAAAAACACTAGAATCTGGCAGAACAGTTGGCTCAATTAGGAAGGCAAAACGAATAATTCTGAATAATTCACCAGCACGAGGCAGCAAAAAAGCGCCGAACCACAAGTGAAATAAGAATAGGAAGATTGGGAAGTCTAGGGAGAAGGAAAACACAATAGGAAAGATAAGCAAAAGAAAAGAAGAGGGAAAGAACTAGAGCAAATGAAGCGGCGAAGTGATTATGCCTATGGTCCATCAATTCAAATGAGGAATGGGCTAAACAAGAAAGGAGAAAATGATGAAAGAATGGCTGTCCATCAGAGTCGGAAGGAGCAATGTTATTGCCTATATTGAGGCTGAGCTTGCTGGTGCATCTAAAATGACAAAAAAAGAAGGTGAAGGATGCAAAAGCCGAATATAGAAGCCGTTTATTAGAAAGAAAAAAGCATGCTCTACTTTTAAACCACTCATATAAAATCCAGAGAGAAGAATAGATTGATAAAAGTGATGCGAAAATTGCTTTTAATGCCCAACTGGGCCACCAGATGTACAGATGTATACACTCATTGCTTTTTGAACAACTTGGCTAAACGGTCTCAAATGAAAAAATGAGAAAAAGCCTCTTTCTCTACCAATCTGGTGTAGTTCATCGAATTGACTTTAGGTTAAACGCATTATCACTTTGAACAAAAATTTTGCATATTTCCTATAATTCTACTGACCCCGGCTATCCAAGCTTGCTTTAGATATACCCTCATTGCATCATGTGCATCTGCTGCTGCTGACCTGTTACGATAATGCTTTCTCCCGACCCTTTCCTGGTAGGTTGCCTCCCGTTCTGAGAAGATCAAGCGTTCAGAGATAGTAATATTTTGAGTGATCCAGGCAACAACTGCTCAATTGTAAAGGGAATGAAGGCTGGCATCAAAGCCGAAAATAGAAAAAAAACAGTCAAACTCGGAGCGATAAAAAGAATAATAGAAACAGTTGGATCGGAATTTTTCATTGAACAAGTAGAGCACTTTGTTGCAGCACCTGACGACAGGGCTTATTTGCCCTTATTTGCGAACCGTCTTAAATTCGAATCGGCTGAACAGAGATCAAATCAACTCTTGTCAAAACGATTCATTAGAAAGTTCTTTCCGGCCTAAAATAACTATGCACTCTTGAACTTAAACTTTCGGTCTGTCGAGTCTTGGACCACTCATGAAACAGGACACGAATACCTAAAATGAACACAAACTAGATATCTTGTTAAGCAAGATACAGAAACGACCTAAGGAGATCCCCTTAAGTTGGTTGATAAAGGAGGAATGGTTAAGAATCTGGCGCAAAATAGCAAAACTCTTTATTCCACATCACCAGAACTATCCAACCTCCATCTTGATATCGTTGCTATCCTTCATTGAGCTGTCCTCGGGCAGACAAAACTTACTTCCGGTCTCATCCATAAGGAGCGAATTCGGCATGAGTTCAGGATATTTCGTTTCTGCCTGCACTCAACTCAGCGATGTTTAGCACGAAGAAAATTTTCTATCCTCGGTCTGTTCATACTTTTCATGAATAGTCGTCTTAACCTTCGGAAATATTTGGTCAAATAATTTGATAATTTACCACAAGTAAACACAAATCTCTAATCGCTTCGACAAGCACAAAAGCAAAATTGATCTTTCCCGTAGAGCCCTCTTCCTGGTTATGACCTCGCAATTTTTAGCTATACTATTTGTTAATACCTGATGAAGCCTGTGTATGAGAATCGGTTTAGTCTGAAAGAATATCTAAAGCTCCCTTCGTCTGCATGAAAGGGTGATCTTATTCTACTATCTTTTCATAGTGAAGAATATAAAGAGGCAAGGTGCTTGTCTGACGTAGACCACAATTGAAAGAACAACCAGATCGCTGAGCTCATCCATGCATGAATGGGGCCTAGAATATGGCATGTCTATGATAGAGGGAAGATATTTTGCTGTTTACAATAAAAAATGGAGAATATAACTAACGACATCCTGAACCTTTAAGAGTAGTTGAGCCGAAAGGTCTTTACATAAAAATATTGGCAAGCGATAAACTCCTATTATGAGGGCGATAAGAAAGCCATCATTTTTATTCAATTTACCAAAGGAAAAGACAATTTAAAGATAAAAATGTAAGTACTATAAGGGCAATATGAGAGTTATTCCTTGATATTCTAGGAAGTCTATTCTATACAACAAAGACAAATGTAGTTGAGATCAGAAAAAATCTCGTCAAAGACCTCTACATTCAGGGCCACGATTTTGTGATGTTCATTTTAATTGACTACATAAGACTGTCCAGGGGCTGAGCATTCGACATTGACATTAAAGAACCCTCATCAAATGGAGTAATCCTAAGAGTGATGGTATAATTGATTCTGGCGACATTTTTCAAACAATTCGAAGTTGACCGAGAAAAATGGATGATGCCTGAACGAACTGAACGACTGATACAAACTCTGGACAAGAATGTGACATGACTTTCCATTTCGAAGTAAAATTTGATTGGAAGGAATTTGTGAAATAGTCTCACCGGAAACTGAAGGATGATTGCCGCAGAGTGAAGACCATTGGATTGTGCGAAGAAGTCCTTGGCTCACCGTTCATCGAGGTCGCAGGGCGTTGAGTCGAGGGCTTCTTAGCATAATCGAACAATCTTCACTCTGCGGTAATCCACCTTCGGGTCCCGGTGAGGCCATTTCGCGAATTCTTTCCAACCAATTTTTCCCTCGAAATGGAAAGTCATGTCACAGTCTTGTCCAGAG